TCAATATTTGGCCCAAGACAACTCGTATTCTTTCAATGTGAAGCAGAAAAGAAAAAAGATTGGATACCCCTGAAAGCAAGTAATTGGATATATGAATATAGAATTAAGGTATGGTATGGAAAAAAAAAGTCCTATATAGATGGCATAAAAAGCCATAACAGTGAATGAGATTACCAAGGAAATGAGTCTGCAGACAGACAAATGAAGAGGCTGAATGGAGGGGCCCTGGTCACTCTGCCATTTATTGGCTGGGGAGATGAAGAATAATTAGCAAAGCAAAGTGAAAATACACTTTTCTGGGAAGCAAGAAAAGGAAAGAAAGAAAGAAGAAAGGGGAGGGAGAGAAGAAGGAAAACAAAGAGGAAGAAAGAGGAAAGGAGGGAGGGAAGGAGAGAGGAAGAATAATGTTAGAAAGGAAAAAAGGGAGGAAGAAAAGTGAGAACAAATGGCCAGAGATGTCACACGAAACCCAGGCCAGTATGGTGTCTTGGAGACCAATAAGAAAGCATATTAAGGAGGAAAGTGCAATGAACTGTTGAGTCAAATGCTGCTGAGAGGCCAAGATGAGAACTGAAAATCACTCCTTAGGTTTAGTAATGTAGGGATAACTAGTGACCTTGATAAGAGTCATGGTATGCAGGAAGTCTGAATGGAGTCAGTGCAAGAGGGAAGCTGGACAATGCAAATACAGATGACGTGTGCTCTGGGGAAGATCCCAGTAGAAAGGGCTGAACTGATATGCAAGAGAGAGGGGAGAACTGCTGGAAGGGCAGATGGGATATAATGCACATGTACAAAGGGTTACTTGTGGTTATTAGCATGAGGAGTTCAGCCACAGGAACTGATAGCTTAGGAAAATTCAGGGTGGCTGGGCACAGGTGAAGGTAGGTGGGTGGATGTAGTGAGGGTGCTTGTAGTTTAGTCAAGAGAATTTGGGAGAGGGGCTAGAAAGCTGAAAATTATTCATATTTTTACTGAAGATTTTCAGTAGAACTGGAATTTGATAATAACCAAATAAGAGACTAGTTTAAAATACATAAAAACTAAATAAAACTAGTTTAAAAAAATAAAATTGAGGTGGGAGAAATAAGAGAAATATTTGTTGATAAAAATAAAATTTTAAGTGCACTGTAAATACATACCTTTTAGTTTTAATTAATTAAATGCTTATATTTTGAGAAATGCCATTACATTTTGAGAAATACAATATTTCTTTTTTTTTTATTAAATGATAGCTGTGTACATTAATGCAAACATGGGGTACAGTGTAGTATTTTCATATACAATTTGAAATATTTTCATCAAACTGGTTAACATAGATTTTGTGTCATTTACTTAGTTATTGTGTTAAAACATTTATACTCTAGTTCTAGAAAAGTTCACGTGTACCCTTGTTAGACAGACCATATAGGTGATCTTTCCAGTCACCCTCCCTCCATACAATATTTCTAAGTTACAGTATTATTTCTATTTTTTTGATGACTATGAATTACACATCCACTACTTTGTATTTTAGAAAACTGAGGAACTTTTAACAGCTTCTTAAATAAGAATCTCTGTAGAAGAGAACTAATGATAAGAAAATATACATTTTCAATAATTCCTAATAAGATCTGATCTAGCAGTACCCATGTAAAAATTATTTTTCAAATTAAGAATATTTACAGCAATACAATATCCAATCTTTTTACATATAACTATGCAAAAATTCTAAGGCATGGAAGCAAGTCTTCAATAACTCTTTAATCTGGGTGCTTTATGAAGACTAAGGCACCTGGAAACTCAAATTATAGTCAATCATATGAAATGAAGGAATTAAAATGCAAATGGAGACATCATTCATTGCTTCTTGATTATAATTTCATGAGACAAAAAAATCAGGTCACTACTCTTCCTCCTGGTCCATTTACCTGTGCTGGTAGCAGAGTTGCTCTGCCCTTCATCTGAATACTGACAGGGATACTGTAATGGCTCATCTGCTCCTGGAAAATACTATATATAAAAAAGTAAATCACTTAAAATTTCTTTAATGCAAATTAAATCCTTCTAAGATTAACCCGAAGAGTATATGTGAATTATTTCTTTGTTGTGGGATCACCCTATAGCAAAGATGATGCTTTATTTTTTCTAAGGTAGATACTGAATTTGTAGTTGCTTAAGTTTTTGATTTTACAAAGATGATAATACTTTACTCTTTTTTGAATTTAAATTGTAATCAATGCCATGCACCTACCTATGAGTCTAGTTTACAGAGACTAGACAGTCTTAAAGAAAACACCCAATATTTCTCTAGAGGAAAATATAAAATAGAAGATAATTGTGATAATTCCTCATAATTATTTATAACACATTTATTAAAATTTATGTTCTTAGAGCACTGACATAAACTTCCAAATTGTTGCAATGATTGTTAGTCTGACAAGTGAAACTGGTATACTACAGGATAATTGTTGGAATTAATGTTTTTAAATATCAGGAGGCTAGATCATGAATGTCCTTCCATAAATTGAAGACACAATGTTGAAAGTTGTTGAATGTTGATAAAAAAAATTAGAATTTAGAAGAAAAAAAGGAAAGGTATTTCCCTAAAATTAGACAAAGCACATATAAACACAATCACAAGTCAAACAATTCATGTATCCTGAAGTTTTAAGTTATCTGACTATACAGACTAGGTTGTTTTCTAATGTACCTTTAGGGCCTAGGGTTCTATATAATATAGCTAGTATTCAAATATGATGGTAAACCTGAACCAGATTAGTTCAACCTGCTTTGTTTAAGTAATTTCCAACAGGCTGAACAAATTTAATCTTTCATCATTTAAGAAACCACTCTGTCTTTATATAAGGAGATCACAAGATTCTTCCACTGAATAAACTGCCCTTAAATTCAGGGACTTTCAAAAGTTATCTTTTTAAAGCCAAGGTACCAACTGACAGTTTTTGTGAGTATAGCAAAAACTAGAGGTGGAAATTATTTCAAATAATTCTAAAAGTCTTTAATCTGCAGTCTAGAACAATTTGGTAATCAGTTTTAAAGGATTCTTCCAAATTAGTCTATAAATCTTAGAAGTTTAACTTTTTACTGGCACACAAAATCCTGAAAATATGCAATAAAAAGCAAAATAGTAAAAAATATCACTCAAATACATGTGTCTGAAAATGAAACCTCTTCCCTGTCTTACATAAACCACTAAATGCTTGATGAAGACTGGTATTAAAAAAACCTAAAATCTCATTTAGCATGTATTGGAGTCACAATACACTTCAGTCCTGTGAAGGCTTTCAAGATAACTCAGTTTCTCTCACATTACAGACTTGCTCACTAATGGAAGCAGAAGGAAAAAGCAAGCCAAAAACCCAGTCTGGTCATTTTTCCATTAGAAAAATTTATATCAGAGGTTCTCAACCTTCCTAATGCTGCGACCCTTTAATACAGTTCCTCATATTGTGGTGACCCCCAACCATAAAATTATTTTCACTGCTACTTCATAACTGTAATTTTGCTACTGTTATGAATCATAATGTAAACATCCGATATGTAGGATGTATTTTCATTGGTCACAACCCATAAGGTTGACAACCACTGATTTATGTTTTCCTTTAAATAACATTTTCTCTTGTGATTATTTGAGTAATGAATGCTCATTCTAACTTAGAAAATACAGAAAAGTATAAAGCAGAATATAGTCATAACATTTATTTTACTTTGAAATTGCATTAAAACTCAGTATATGTTAAATTCCCCTAAATCCAAAGCCCCTCAAAAGAAGGATTATACCCGCATTAAGTGAGTCATTATCTTCACAATTTCCTCCATTGACGGGCGCTGAGAAGGATCTTTAGACCAACAGCGAGTCATCAGGCTCTCAATGGGCTTAGGTAAATTTTTGATCAGTGGTGGTCGAGTACCTATAATTGAAAATTAGAAGTGGGGGAAAGAACATATTTACCCAAGGAATTGTGTAAGCTTTTATATGTATTTCCAAAGCAGTATTTATTTTATAGATCTTACAATTTGTGATTTACAATTTAGAGTAATGAAGGTATACTTTCTGTCTTTTAGGTTAACATTCATTCTACCTGTGTATATTTTTATAAAAGGGACACTACATCTTTTAAAAAGTTAAATAAAACATTTTCTAACATTTTATAGTAACAGTAAGACTGAGAATTAACAATACTTTATTTGTATAAACTTTTTTTAACAAGTAACAATGGCTTAGTGTGTTAAGAAAAGTAAAATGATGACTTGAGAAAACCTTTCTTGAATTATATTTTTCAGATTCGACTGAAAAATCATCTTACACATCTAAAAACGGGATCACTTACATGTTATATTCACTGACTACCAAATAGCCCTTTTGTGTGGAGGGTCATTTTGCATTTCACATGCTGAAAACTGCCAACCTTTTGTAATTACCAAACCTGTGATATTACTAGTAAACTCCCTACTTAAACAAGTCCTGGAATATAGGAGAGTTTTGTAATTTTATCAATTAACAAGTCAGTTTTTTTACTTCTTAATTTATTGAACTGAATCATTTACTGACAATGACAGAAAGAAAGCAAACCACCTTAGTCAATGTTCCAGCTTTCTTTATGACGATACTAAACGTAACCTTAAAGGCAGTACAGGAAACTGGTAAAAACAGCTAACACTACTCAGAAGATGGCTGTTCACAGTCTATGAACAACCTACATGTCAGGCAGATAGTTGTTTTTGTCACTTGTGGAATAATGTATGAAAATATCATCAATCAAAATTATTATCATCAATTGGTAGAAATGAAGTAATTGAGAGTTATGTTAAAGTTAGGAAGGTTAAGTAACATTTCTTCATCAAGAGATTATTTTTCCAAAGCAAATGTGAGATAAGATCATTATTAGAGGTAGAAAAGGAACAGGAGGGATGCAAGGACATTGACCCCGTAAGTCAATATGACTCACAGGCATTCAAGTCAGAAAGATCTGGATTTGAATCCCAGTTATTTAACCAGTTAGAAGTCTCAGTTTTCTAACTGGTAAAATGAGGCAACAGGATTCATTCTCAAGAATGGGTGAGAATATAAAAAGGGTATGTGAAGCTTTTTGTGTTTTGTCTATGAGCTTAAGTGACAACTCTTTGCTCTCTCTCCTTAGCAAGACCCTTCTTCAGGAGAAAAAGGCTGCTGCTCCCCAATTATCTTAATCATGTGAGAGATTTTATTTATGTATTTATTTTTCTCACAGAGTCCCATCTGATGTTTCTCTACCTTAAGAGAGAGTCTGTGTAGACAGGTGGCTCTGTCTGTGTACTGATGGCCGCACTCTAATGAGCACAGCCAACAAATGTCCTCAACCTTATGTGAGGGCAAGGGCTGCTTCCAATACTGCCCTGCTGGACTTTGGGACACAGAGAGGGGCAGAGATTGGAAATAGGAAAATGGTCTAGTAACAAAGACTTTATACAGTATATTAATGTTAGAAATAAATGGCCTTCTTCAGGGAAAGGGGCAGGGAAAAAACCTTCCAAATAGAAAATATACAAAGATATAAAAAGATATAAAGTACATTCAAGAAAAACTTCTTTTTACAAACCATTGTGCACAGCCCACATGATCCTGAAAGCTGGGCCACCAATCTCATCAAAAGGTTTCCGACGGGTTATCACTTCCCAAAGGATAATACCCCAGCTGAAGACATCACATTTTTCACTGTAATTACTACCTAGAAAAAAAAAAAAGATAGTATAATCTCAAGACATTTTTATAACAACACTTGAAGAAAAAAAACAATCAAGACTTTCAATTCATAATTGCTAAGTCACGGAAGAAGCCCAAGTGCCCATCGACCCATGAATGAATCAATAAATTGTGGTATATATACACCATGGAATATTATGCAGCTTTAAAGAAAGATGGAGACTTTAGCTCTTACATGTTTACATGGATGGAACTGGAACATATTCTTCTTAGCAAAGTATCTTAAGAATGGAAGAAAAAGTATCCAATGTACTCAGCCTTACTATGAAACCAATTTATAGCTTTCTTATGAAAGCTATAACCCAATTATAGCCCAAGAAGAAGGGGAAAGGGGAAAGGGAGGGGAGGGGAGGGAGAGGATGGGTGGAGGTAGAGTAATTGGTGGGACCACACCTATGGTGCATCTTATAAGGGTACATGTGAAATTTACTAGGTGTAGAATATAAATGTCTTAACACAATAACTAAGAAAATGCCATGAAGGCTACGTTAACCACTTTGATGAAAATTTCATATTATATAAAAAACTATCACATTGTGCCCCATGATTGCATTAATGTACACAGCTATGATTTAATAAAAAATAAATAAATAAATAAAAATAATCAAAAAAAAATCAAGACTTCAAGAAACAGCTGTTTTCATAAGTTTGCAATGGGTATCTTGGATAAAATAAGAAGTTATCACATGATAACTAAGCTAAGAAATTAATCTTTCTGAAGTACTTCAAGTCTTCTTAGCAAATACAATTTTTAATAAATTAAGAATCAAGAATACATCCAAAACTCTACTTTGAGAAGTCAGTTATTTTCTACCTTTTTTCATCAAGAGGCAAAGACCTTATCTTTATGTATTCAGACTAATGATTTCTTTGGGACAGAGTATAAAACATTTATACATTCCTTTCTGTAATATTTTAATTTTAAATTTGCTTTCCATTCTCTGATAGGATAGCACTATTCTGCTATTAAAGCAAATCAACTTTCTAATTTAGTGTTACAAAATAAACTCCACATATAGTGAGATAAAATCCTTAATTTTTCAAACTTAAGCAGTTGCATGAAAATCATGGATAACAAATTCACAGTTAACAGATTATAAGGCAAAATTTATAAGACTACTAAGTTGGTGGGTGAATCAGCACAAAGAAAAGCCCTCCTCAAACAAAAAAACCCAACCCACCATAAGAATGAACATCAGCTTTACATGCTAAGAAGCATGCCGTACTCCAACGTTTCAACATTACAATCTATTCTGGGTACAGGCGCAGCCAGTTGACTTCTTTCTGATATGAAGATATCTACCCAACCTATAGTCTGAGCTTTGTTGCTTTACCTAAGACAATTAATGGTAACTATTACTTTCATATAAACAAATATATTTTATCTCCATACTATAGTAACACTGTGCCATTTTAACTGACAGATATATTATACAAGTTTATATTTTCAAAACAGTGCCAAGTCTATGTATTCTGTATATGGCACAGAAGGTGTTATTTGATTTTGTGTTAAATTTTAGTAGACCACTTGATGGTCTACTAACAAAGACTTTACACAGTATTTTAATGTTAAAAATAAATGGTCTTCTTCAGGGAAAGGGGCAGGGAAAACCTAAATTGTTGTGTTTTAAGACAGTCTTACTCTGTCGCCCTGGCAGTGTTGTGGCATCATAGCTCACAGCAACCTAAAATTCCTGGGCTTGAGCAATCCTCTTGCCTCAGCCTCCTGAGTAGCTGGGACTACAGGTGTGAGCCACAACACCCGCCTAGTTTTTCTAATTTTAGTAGAGATAGGGTCTCACTCTTCTCAGGCTGTTCTCAAACTCCTGAGCTCAAGCAATCCACCTGCTTCAGGCTCACAGAGTGCTAGGATCACAGGCATGAGCCACTGCGCCTGGCCAGTCTACTAATTTTTTAATTGCATTTGAGGGCAAAAGAGTTCCACCCAAGCAACCAGTTAGATAACTATAGATAGACAACTATAGTTACTTATGTATATCTAATTATAGTTAGATAACTAGTAGATAATATAACACCCCCCAAAAATCTTTAAACTTTATGCAAAAATAAAAAGAAAACATAATAGGACATGATTAATTGAATATGTCTGAATTTTATGGGCATTCATACTTGCTAACATATAAATCACATATAATTTGTATGTTCAATTTAATTTTTTTCATTTAAAAGATAATTTGATGTTTTTATACAGAAACCAAGCATACAATTCACAGACTGATCTTTTAAAACCTGAGTGAGAAATGGAGGTTAAAAGAAAAAAAAGTAAACATTTAAATTTGTCCTTAACTTGTAGTCCTTACTATCATATTTCTGCCCAATTACTTGCTTTCTTCTTAAGACATACTCACTTAAACTTTAGGGTTGCCAATATTCAGTCACTAGGAAACCAACACAAAGGCACAGTTGATTCCTGTTAGCACTGGTGTTTATGTTCTACACAGTCTCTGTGAGTGATGAATTATCTAACACCAAATCAGTGCTCCTAGAGGGAAATCCAGGACCAAGTTCCTGTGGTTTTGTTAACTGATCAGTACGTAACCTTGTTTCATGTGTGCTTCTGCTTAAAGACACCTCATTTAACATATATGTTAACTTATTAATATGAATCATAACTCATGGCTAACAGCATGCTGCTCATGCTTGATGAAGCTAATGTAACACAGGTCTTTTCTCAGGAAGACAAGTCATAGTCTTCTCATATTTAGGTAGTACTAGCTTGAGGGCCAGCAAAATTACCAACAAAATTGACAAAAATGTGGTGCTAAACAGATCACAAGAAGGACACCTGTTTATAGTACGAGAACTGAAGTAAAAAGGTGGATTGTTCCCTTATCATACGACCTCAGCTAGGAACATGTGTTAGATGACTCTGCTCTGAGCTGGCAATTCTCTACAAGTAACTATGAATGTACCAGAAAATTAACTTGGGGGTTGTACATAAAGCTTGGGGTTATAAATAAATTTTGAGATTATGAAATCTATGAATGAGAATCAACTGTATATATGCCTGAACTTGCATAGATGATTCCGGACAATTTAAACCTTGCTATAACATTTAGGATATAAAGCTATACATAGTATTTATTTAATACCTCCACAGACTTCAATATATACTCTATAGTTACACACTGTGCATAAATAAAACCACAGAAATGGGGAAAATCTACAAACACAGCTGGACTCACATGGGGTGAGGTAGATTACCAATCGTAGAATGCTTTCGCCATTTTACCTTCAAAAACTTCAGGTGCCATCCAAGCAGCACTTCCCTTGTTATTGGTCATGTGTGTCTGAATGTCACAGGCTGTGCCAAAATCACAAATTTTTAGAACTGTGCCCCCTGCAACCAGCAGTAAGCTGTTAAAAAATACATATAAGTTACAAGGCCAATATTTAATCTACAACAAAAGAGATATTTGTGGAAATTAAAAGTTAAACAAAATGAGTATTACCATTCAACTTCTGGGAAATGTTATTTGGGGACTATACCAGCCTAATAGCTCAGAGGAGTGTCAGCAAAAATTAACTGACCATGATCCAGCTCTCTTAGAGAAGCTTCTAGACTCACATTTTTATATCTCCACAATCTTTCCTGACTGTACATCTCTCTGGGCAAAATAAAACATGGAGTTTAGAAAACTTCCAGTCAAATTGATCTTATGGTGTCCTGAAATGGAAGTTTAATCATATATAAGTGTTAATTTAAAAATAACATTATATAATTTAAGTTTAAGAAAATAAAGTTAAATAAACCCATATAGAAGGAAAAAGGTCCTCAATTTAAACATCTTCACTTTGAAGATACTTACATAAATATTCAATCTCTAAACCATTTTTATGTTCAGAATATGTGTGTTTGGGAGGAATAAAAATTTATTATGGTTCAACTGACCCAATGGGAGATTTCTAGAAAACTAAGAAAGATTTTGACTTTCTTAGTTTCCACATTACCTACCTAATTACAATTGCCGAGTTACACTCAAAAGGTTGTGCTTTTGAAGATAGAAATAGACATGGATACTATATTTTACAGACTTTTAACTATAAATCTTGTAAACTTTTTATATCTGAGATTATTCATTAAAATTATTATTTTAGTCCAATGTGCTTAAGATATGCCAGATAAACTACTATTCACATCTCCATACTACCAAAAATATTTCCATGGTAAATAAAATACTACTATTCACATCTCTGTATTACCAAAAATTCTTCCTTAATTCAAGAATGCTAAATGCAACTTACCTCTGTATATACGTCAACTAAAAAACAAAATTTTCCCTGTCCCAGTGTTCTTGTTCCAACTCTTATACCATTTACCCAAGAAAGTTTTAAGAACTCTGTAACTGTTTTCCTTGTTTTATCCTGATTCATCTAAGCTATGATGGCAATTTTTCTCAGTGACTTCTATATTAGTACTTCTTTACTCATAAGACTTGTAATAGTTCACTAGCTATGACCATAACATTCAAGGCTCACTGAAATTTCTTTGTAGGCTTACTTTCATATAAATAAGATTTAGAATATATTTTTATTTCTGCTGTTCGTGTGAATGAACTTGGAAGATAAATAAAACAGGGACACAAGCACAATCTGATACCACATAGAACTCCTCACCAGACCCTCAGGTGTTTTCTTCACATACCAATCTAAGGAACTCCTCCGATCACAGTACTGGCAGGTTTTCTAATGGCAGTAAGATACAGCAGGTGTTCATGTATATTCAATTATATATAAAAGCACAGCCGCATCAAAGAATTTTCTTTTCCCCAGTGCCTTCTGAAACATCGGTTCTAATTCTAAAGTCCAATTTGTATAATAGGTGCCCCAAAGACAATTTGCAAGACGGATCCAATCATCAAGAGGATCAAAAGGAATGAATGACCTAGACCAGACCTCTTATGAATATGTTAATGAGATTTAATAGCAAGGGAGAATCCCTACCTATAATCGATCTTAGAAAGATATATTTGGTCTAATTAGGTCGATTAAATAAATGTAAAATTCATGGCTGGATGGGATTTGGGGATAGTTGTTTACACTGCTTAACTAATGCAATCTGAAAGGTATTAGAAAATGGAAACGGTTTCCTTTTATAAGCCATTTCTCCATATACTGTGCAATAACTAGCCACTTCCTCCAAAGCCAAACAACCTACTCTAACGCAGAAGAAAAGGAACACTTTATGGGGTTGCATCTGATGGTTTCAGACCCCTCAAAAAAAAGAAGGCTTTGTCTTTATCCAGTGTGTGCCTATGTCCTTTGAACCATTAGTCCATTTGTTGCTGGATAACAGATATTATTCTCATTAGTTTGCTTTAATAATTCAACTCTGTGTTGATAAAGGGGGGAAACAAGAGAAAAAAGATATGTCTTCTTCACTAGTTAAGGCAGGTAGCTAAGATAACAGTGTCAGAAGTCAAGTTAAAAATGTCATTATTTTACCAGGGAACTGGGGAAATAGAAATCAGTTTAGGACTAGGAACAGTGATAAGGTACACTAGCAAGAACAGCCATTCTAAGAATTGGAACCTACGTAGAGTGTATTAGATCAAACATGAGCGTGACAAGTGACACCCAGAAGGGATGTTTTAGTACTCTAAACCAGTATCGAGAGAATGGAAAAACTGAAGACTATGCTGATTTCCTAGGGGGAACCTCGAATCTGAAGACTGATGTGGTGGGTGGGGGTGGCATGAGGGAAGCTATGTGGGGACTTTTTTACTTTGTCACAGCTGAATAAAGAAAACACATCAGAGAGAAAAAAGAACGATACATTTTACATGTATGTTTTCTTTAACTGAATAGCTACAGAACAACCCCCCAAATTTTAGCTTCTCAAAGTACTTATCTAAGGAATTTAGAAGTTTTTCAAAGTTACAAGGGTTCTTAAGAAGAACTTCCGAATATATTCCATCTCTACTCAGATGCCACACGGCAGGGGCAGAGTGAGATGTGGAGCTGACAGAGTGTAGAAGGACGCTAATCAAAGGGTTTTTATTTTTAAAAATAAAAATCCCATGAAACACAACATCTAAAATCCGAGCTTAGATATATGACTACCATAATGAAGGTGAGTTAAAAATAAATATTGAGTATGCCAAAAAGAAAAAAGAGGAACTCTTTGTACAGCAATCAAGTTGAACTAGGGAGTGGGGTGGGGGTGGGGGGCGAGAAAAAGTGAGAGACTGACAACAGGGCAGAACTTACTTATTACTTAACATAGTACCAGAACTTA